GCAGGCCTAGCCGTCGCAGGCCCAGTAAGCAGAAACTGAAGAGGGGAAAAAGCCCTGCTCTTTCTGATGAAATGAGGGAGGTGATTTCCTTAGCCATTTCCCAGGGGATAGCTGAGGGCATTAAGCGCAGGGGCTCTCGCAAGGGCAAGGCCCCAAAGGAGAAACGCAAGCCTAAGGCCTCCACTTCCAAGGAGCCTGTATCCTCCTCTCCATCTTCCAACCCATCTCACTCTGGGCTTTCAAGTTCTGAGCAGGAAGAAGGGGAAATTTTCGTGCTTTCTGAAGACGAAAACCCTACCACTGACAAACCAGCATTCACTGGCCTGTGACTGTATTGACTGTAACTGATTACAGGATGGTTTCCTTCGTTTTCGAACTGAGCATGCAGAGGCAAAGGGAGGCGTGGTCAACTAAAAACATCATTCAGTCCAAGGGCAGGTAGGCTGTTTTAACCCAGCATTGGACTCTCCTCGCAGTGCCCCGAGAACGACCGTTCAGGTAAGCCAACGGTCTTTCCTCACAAAGCTAGGGAAAATAATCTCCTGGTGAAATTTATATAGCCATCCATCTCAACTACATGATACAACACTAAAAATACTAAATATTAAAATAAAACAACAAATACATAGCAGCCAGATAACATATAAAGCCCTCAACATAGCTTTGAAAATGACTCTGGCCCCCAGGCTTGGACACAAGTCTGTAAATTGTTATTTGTTCTTGAAAAATTGGTTTAGTTTCAGGACAAAATAAGATTATATTCCCAAAATATATTTTTGTTTTCAAATGATTGATACTGGCCATTGGAAGGTGTATTTTTATTAATGTATAGAACTATGAAACATTAAAATGTGTTTTTATTCCTGAAACTGAATTTTAAAATTCTGTTTCATAGAGGTGTCCGTATTAGAGGTTCTGTCGAACAATGGCTTAAAAATGTTGAGAATACCATGTGCAATATGGTAAGAAAGTAAGTATATGTTAATCATATGGAAAGCTACCAATATAACTATTACAAAAAAATCATCACTTTTTTAAAAAATTGATATGCAGTTTGTTCAAAACAAACTCATCATTAAAACATTTATCGGCAATTGAGAGCAATCATGATCATTTCAGTGAAGAACCAAATTGAAGGGCTGAATAATTTTACAGGTCCCCACCCTGGGACCGGAATATATTAAGGAGATCAGAGTGCTCTTCATTTTGTGCTATTGGTTGCAATTCGTTGTCATCAGTATATTATAGCATATAGGATGCTAAATATTAATGTTATAAGGGAATTACATATTCTGAGCAATATATCCCTGTTTCTTGAAAAATATATGTAATTTTATTATCAATAATCTTCCTTTAAATAATCTGGAGATGATTTAGTAATTTGTAAGAAGTAATTTTTTTCAAAGATTTCATGTTTTTTCTGACTATATAATATACTTTAAGGTTTATAGAAGTTGGAATTACAGAGTGGAATCAAATGGAATTTAAAGAATGGTTTTTTACCCACCCAGGACAGGTGATATTGATTGTGGTAAGCAAAATAGAGTACTATTTAACTATATTAACTATACATTTACTTGGTTGGAAAATGTGTAGCTCTATAAATGTTTTAAATTAATAAATAAAATTAAAGCTAGACAACTTTAGCAAAAGTCTAGAGGCTTGCCAGGATCTAACCCACAGCATCTGAATCTACTCCCATCTACTCTTGCTGATTTTCTGACTGGTCACCCTTAAATGATTGATTGTGTGCTGTTTGTGGGCTGACAACTTGATGAACTAAGGTCCTCAGGTTGGAGTCAGATAAAACCATATCAATGTTCCAGAAAAATTGGAAGAAAAGTGAGTTATAACATCTGTAAGATTGTTTTAAAAAATAAGACTGTAAGTATAGATAATGTAACTGGAGAAATAATAATATATGCATGTGGATTGCTTGGGAGTGACTGTATAACATGTAAGTAAAAACTGTCTCTGTGCCTAAGGAAAGAATGCTGGTATTACTTTCCTATACAGAGGGAGAGTGCAAGAATGAATGCAAAAAATATTAAAGATTTAATTTGTTATGTGTGCTTGGAAGGATGACAATAAACAATATTTCAGAAATGTAATGTGATTTTATCCTGGTAAATGTGTGCAGAGCAGATTTTTGTTCTTTAGCAGATTATTGAGAATTGTATGAATATGAAAAAGATTATTCTCATTTGTTGATTTAAAGAAAGTACACATTACAACATAGATATGAGCCACTGTAATTTGCATCAATTCAAGTTTCTGAGTAGCCTAGGAAACTCATGTAAAGTATATTGCCAAGGTGGAATTCCAAGTGTCCGATATATGAATGATTGCTAATAGGACCACCGATTTTAAAGAGCCTTGTAATTAATGTACCAACCACAACTTCAGGTTGTGGACTTGCTGTTTCAGGAGGAGTTTAACCCTACCCAAAGTAAGTACAGGAGTTAACAAACAACCAGATGTAGTTGTCTGGGGAGCAACTAGTTCTTCTGCCTTATAAGGATTCAACTTGTTTCTTCCTATCCTATGTTCCTCCACATTTGAAATATTTTTTTTGTTCTATTCTTAGGACTTAATTGATTTATTTTCCTTTCCTCAAGTTTGGTTTAGGGAATAAGGGAAATACATTTTAATGTGACTTCCTTGCCATAGTCTAATGTGGATACTCTGAAGGATGTTTAAATACTCTCCTGTCTCAAGAATTACATTATTTACAAGTAAATACAAGTAATAAGTTATTATCGTTACTAATATAGTATTTCTCTTTTAGAGTCACATAAAGTTTTCTCAGGAATGTGAAGCAGCTATGTTGAGTTCTAATTCAAAAAAGGAGATGATAGAAGACCTGGATGATCTGATCAACGTTCTAGAGCAACTTACAGAAATAGCATCAGATATTCTTCCCTACCACAAGCAAAGCACTTTAGAAGCTTTGATTTCTTTGTCCATCCATAATAGAGATATATTACATTTATTGATAGATCAAGATATTGGCATTAAAGATTTTGAATGGACAAGGTATAATTTTTCTTAAATGCTAAGATATATTTAAGAATAATTATTTTAAATAAACCAAAACGTAAATGTAATATGCAAAGCAGATATTTAATTTCAGATTCAATATTATTTCATTTCCTTTTATTTGTGTTCATAAATTGACTTCATGCATTTTACCCAGGGGATCCGAGTAGATATACAGAATTCACTGCCTTAGTCACCTTTAGCTGAATTACTATAACATACTCTATGTATGCCTGTTTTGAAAACCACTTGGGAGTTATGACTGTGTGATACTTCTATTTATGTTCCCTAAATTTTCATGCTGGAATCTTACCCTTTAAAAGTGTAGACATTTTGTTAGCAATTTTGTTGAAGCAATGTTGGTTTCTTGTTGAGGCCGGATCTATGTTTCTTAATATGATCTCTTTACTGACACTTTCAAATGTTGTCTCCATAACTGAGGTTAAGCTAACTAACCTTTTCTTGTTCTGTGACCTTTTAAAACAATCTAGTCACATTGCCTACTTTCCAGTCCTTGAGAACAGATGTACTTAGTATGGAACAAGTGGAAACGAAGACTTTTTTCCCTTTCTCTCTGAAAGTACTAAGAATCTCTTATTTCTTACTATTTTTAGCATAACTGTAACTTACCATAAACCATCCTGGCATTTTCCACTGGCATGAAAAAACAAAGAGCAATTCAATAGTATACAACTGCACTGCCTTTTCCAACAGATCATTTTTTTAAAAAAATCTGGCTTATGTTGACATTTGAATTTAAATGTTTCACATAAATAAGACATTTGAGGTAGTGTATTATGCATAAAAGCTTACTTTTATCTTGAGGTGAACTCATGCCAATGCAGGATATTTATACTTGAACAGAATGTTCACATCACTGAAATAAAAGCCTGATTTTAGATACTTTTACATCATTGTACTCTTTTCTTAGAGCTTGTCCTTGCTTGTTTTCCCCTGTGCTCACCTAGTTCATATGCAAAATGCATAATGTGACATGATTTCTTCTTCAGACATGATTTACAAAGTCTGATACCATTTAAGAGTGAGAGGGAATTAGTGGCCAAGATCATCCAGCTTGTTTTCATGCCTACGGAAGGCTTAGAACTTGGGATCAGAATAACAGAATAGGGAGGGGCCTTGGAGGTCTTCTAGTCCAACCTCCTCCTCAGGCAGAAAGCCAACCCTATACTATGTAAGACAAATAATTTCCCAATCTCTTCTTTAAAACTTCCAGGGTTAGAGCATTCACAATTTCTGATTAACTGTCAGGAAATTTCTCCTTAGTTCTAGATTGCTTTTCTCCTTGATTAGTTTCCATCCATTGCTTCTTGTTATGACTTCAGAGGCTTGGGAGAATAATGAAGAAGTCCCCACTCCTGATCTTGTATTTCAACCTTTATAACACATCAGTTCCCAGATACCTCATTTTCTAATCTTTTAACATAAATTTGTATTTAATGGATTTTTGGATTGCTTTTTGTATACTGAAAAATTCAATTCTTACAACACTGAATTTTTATCCCTGTACCTATACCTATAACATTTGATAATCCATATGAGTCATTAACTGCTATGTAAACATGTTTTATTTAGGCAATTGCGTTACAAATGGCATGATTGCAACCTGTGCACAGTTATTCAAGGTTATGCTTCCTTTGAATATGGTTATGAATATTTAGGCTGCTCTCCACGATTGGTTATCACGCCTCTTACTGATCAATGTTGGTTAACCATTACTGGAGCACTACAATTAAATCTAGGCTGCTGTCTTGCTGGGCCAGCTGGTACAGGAAAAACAGAGACAGTTAAAGATCTGTCAAAAGTAAGTGCTATATTCTATATCAAGATATGCTTTTTGTAAAATGTATACTGTGTTTTATAGAAAATTCGTAGCCAATATATATTTCAGGACAACACAGTTCTGCCACACCATTCAATTTCCCTTCAAACTCTTACAAACTGATACAAGTCCCACATAGTCAAGCACTCTTCTTTCTGTCTCTTAGCATGTGCTCTATCTTCTCTTGCTTTAATAAGAAATCCTCAAGTGACTGTGATTGATCCACTTAATGGAACAAATTTTTCACAGCAATGGTAAAGACAGGAAATAAATTTGTTTACAGAAAACATATATGCAGCACTCAGGAAGATCCCTTTCCCTAATTTCCCTAATGTCAAGGCCCCATTGGAGCCTGGGTCCGAGGAAGAGGATGAGTTGGAGATGGGGCCGACGGAGGAGGATGGGGTCGCCTCTCTGACTCCAGAGGAACAACTGGGGGAGAAGGACAAGGCAGTCCTGGGTCCCTTGGGCCTTGGAGGGATGGCTAGTAACAGAGAGAAGGAGCAGGATGACCAAGTGAGGGAGGAAGAAAGGGAAAGAGTCGACAGAGGAGCGCAGGAATGACAGAGCTCTAGGAAGGAGCGATTGCCTCCCCCACCGATCCTCAAGCTCAGAGGATGGAGATCAGCACAGGGGAATTGATGCCTCATCACAAGGCTCACCTGGGGAATAAGATTTAAAGAGATGCCATGAGGAGGGGCGCTTGTCGGGGAAAAAACATTGCCTTTTTCCAGCTATGTTTGCAGTTGTTGATGTCTTGCCACTTTGTCTTACTGTGCTTAGCCTTGCTTTGCCTGGGTTCGACTTGCCTTGCTTCGCCTGGCCTGGCCGTGGGCAAGTACTCAGTGACACAGCTCTGCTTCAGGGTGTTCTGCAGCCTCTGTGCAACCAGAAGTCCCTGGAACTAAGTTTCCTGAACTGTGTTTGCTCTCAGAACTGACTGCTTCTCTAGACTCAGAGCAGCCAGGAACTAGTGGAGGTGTGTGTGTGTGTGTGTGTGTGTGTGTGTGTGTGTGTGTGTGTGTGAGCGTTGTTCTTGGACTTACAGTGAACTGTGGGAACTTGAGGGTGGGGAGTTGGAACAATAAAAGGGAGTCAAACCTCCACTCTGACTGTGTTGCTTTTGTGCCCAGATGCAGGTCATCACACCTATGCCCTAATTATAAAGGTAGCTTAGGATCAGTTAGTAAGTTAACCACAGAGTTCCATGTGTTACCACTCTTGACTGAAATAGAATATTCACTGCTCACATTTCCACTCTTATATACTATTCATTCTTCCGTTTACATATCTAATTCTTGCAATCAGAGCTGTTGAAGAGCATAAGGACTCTGCTCAGATATATTACACAGATAACTTTTGTTTCAGATCTCTTATAATATGTTGGGTGCTGAGTTTTGTGCAATACTGATTGACAAGCTGCTACCTAGATATTTATTTATTTGATTTTGTAAGGCTGTCTAACTCCCAAAAATCATCTTTAATTATAGCAATAGCATCTAGGCTTATTTACCACATCATAGTACTTTAAAGCACTCTCTGAGGAGCTTACAATGCCATCATATTGCTTGCAACAATCTGGGTCCTCCTTTTACCAAACCTCGAAAGGTTGGAAGGCTGAGTCAAACTGCAATAGGTGAGGATCAAACTCCTGACTGTGGACAGAGTTAGCCTGCAAAACTGTGTTCTAACCACTGTGCCACCATAGCTCTATACATAAGTTCATCCAATACATAAATTTAAAAAACACGATTAAAGCAACATGATTGCCTGAATAAAAATAGCACTCTCAGCCTTCAGAAAAAAGACTGAACAGGGATTCTTCAGATACCATCATCCAGGCCTGGAAGCAGAGCCAAGTCTTTAGGAAATCCCAAAAGACTCCAGTCCTCATTTTTCTGGGGTACACTTCTTATCTCCTCCTTTTATGATACTCAGGTATCCAATAAGATGTGGATGTATATGCCTTTTTCATTTTCAGATTATGTTTTATGCTCTCTTTTCTAAAGCGCTAGCTTTAACTTTTTGTCATAAAAATTCTTAGTTTTATTAGGTGCTTTAATCTGAAAATTAACATAAAGATGAATAATAAACTTTGTAAGACATTTTAGAAAATGCTTAAGAATGAAGTAAAACTGCTTTAAATAAATAAATAATGTCCGTTTTTCATTACAGGTGACCTTGAATATAAATTTTACTGACATCTTTTGGCCAAATACAATTAACTTGTTAATCAGCTATTTGAGCAGATCAGCAATTTTACTTTGTTAGACATTCTATATATATGATAGTAGAGTTTAATTTCTTATCTTGCAATGTTAATATTCAGCTAACAGGCTAAACAGCATTCACATATGGAAATGAAATGAAATTGCTCTCATTCCTTACTGTGCATTTTCAATGAATTGATGGTTGCTAGTGAAAGATACTTTATTTTGCTATGGAAGATTTATAAAGCTATGAAAAATAAACATGCAATTTTCATATTTAGATTAGAGGTTAGCTTGAATCCATAGTTAATATAATAGTGATGGGAGACTTCATTGTCTCACGACATGTTGTTTAAATATACTTTATCTGATCTGCAAAAAAGTTATGGTAATATTTATTTTTAATCCTGCATTTAGTATATGGTTTCTTTTGAACCTTCAAAATATGCAGACATTTTAAATGTAGCTATATTAAACAAGTAGCTATATGTAAGTTTAGGATTGCCAAAAATATTTTTTATATTAGCTTAAGAACCAGAGTATCAAAAATTTATAATATATTACAAAATTTACATTGTTTAACTACCAAGCATTCTGAATTAGCAGAATTTTTTTTCTTTGCTAAGGCATTCCATATATTGTATATATTCTATGTTTTTGAGAGCCCTCTTTTTTTCAAAATTGTATTTCAGTTTTTAAATTTGAAAATGTAGATTACCTTTAGGAAAGGGGCAAAATAATGGAATGTGAGTGATAAATCTGAATCAAAGTATATAATCTTATTTGATATTTAATGCTTATTTGATTACAATTCAGTTCCATAGAACTTCTTCTATTCAATACTGTATTTTCTTACTTTTAGGCTTTGGGAAAATTCTGTCTTACATACAATTGTTCTGGAGATTTGGATGATAAGGTATGATAAACAATTTTATTTTAAGATACAGTGTAGAACATCAGTAGGCAAACCTTTGAGACATTGAGCATATTTGGAATTTGGAGAGCATGTTGTTAATATTGTCGCATTTTGTGTGCCATGGTGGACTTGGGCTATCATAAAGCATACTTTTATTCCAAAAGCAAACTAGTGAGATGGTTATCTTCCATACGCTGCCTTTCAATATGTCACCTACTATACTAGCTAATCTTTATCTTTTCATTTAAGTGGAAGGAGGGAGTTCCAAAGCACAACTATATCCACTTCTTGTTTAAATTCTTTAAATTATTATTTGAATATGACTACTCATATGTGCCATGGACACTTTCCTGGCATGGTCTCTGGCATAGTCCCATTTAATAACCCTATGCTTCTTTACTCTAGTAAGCTTCCCATAAAGGCAGTGAGAAATGACTTAGTGATGCTGAGAAGATGAAAACCCTGAGCATACAAGGCTGGAGCAATCAAGGCTAGTTGTAGGAGAAGAGCAGACTGAGCTGGAAAGGAGGAATA